TTCTTCAAAAGCCACAAGACAAATGACTTCTGACAACCACAGCAACAATTATTGTAGATACAAATAATGATCAAACCATGTGTCAGATTATGAGGACAAGTTCAGTGGCCGTGGGAATTAATAAATTCAGCCCGGCAGTGCTCGTCATGTCTTCAACTAATCAAATCCAAGCTGGACAGGAAACATTAGGTTCGGGAGAGATGCTGTTATATTCTGGTAATGAAGAATTAAAAGCTACGTGCATACAAGAACTTGCACTGATGCTGTCCAGAGATACCAAAACACTCATTCATATGGTGTGAGTCTCATGATCAAATAGTCATCGAAGTAACGTTCGGGAAGCAGGATGAAGCAGTTACAATGACGATTTTCTGGTGCAAGTATTTATAAATTGTTGTCTACGCAAGATACTCAATATCCATTGGCAACAGCCTTTTGTGTGAGAAAACAAACCAGCTTCCAGGTGATGAGGAAATTAGGAAAAGACGATGGAAATGGATATACATTACGCAAATAGTCAAATTGCATCACAAGACAAGCCCTTACTTTGAATCTTGAAGGAAGGTAAAAAAGAGGAAGGCCAAAGAACACATTGCGTCGGGAAACGAAAGCAGATATTGAAGGGATGAATAATAACTGGAGGGAGCTGGTAAGGATTGCCCAGGACAGGGTTGGATGGAGAATGCTAGTGAGCGGCCTATGGTCCTTCACGAGAGGTAACAGGCGTAAGTAAGTAATACCCGGTAAGCCGCATAGACCTCAACGAAGAAACTCACTCACACATGATTGATATGGAGAAAATCTTCCCATAACTAGATAAACCGTATTCAACGTGATCAATCAACTGGAACACTAGTTGGGATTCTCCACCTCGCGGTTATACATCTGTTTCGTTATTTGGCCTACTAATGCAAATGCAGTTGAAAATCAATACATATGGACAGCATACCGGTATAGACACTAACTGACTTTCTAATTTGGACCAGAGACAATACTGATATCAACATTTCTACGTCATCTGTAGTGTCAGTCATCATGTCAAGCCCATATACGTTATTCTACCTTTCGGACATCCCATTTTATTCATTTTACTCGAGCCATACTTTAACCTTGTTATTTATTCGCTTATAAGTCTTCACTGTTTTCATATGAGCGTATATGTGTGTGCACACCATTTCCCATGACTCATTATACGTCTGTAAATTTATTTTGTCTGACTATAAATATTGAGTAACTCTTGACTAAAAGGGAGTTGGCTTCCTAGCTATCTTCCCTGCGTGTCATTTTTACTTGGCTTCACCGTGTGCTTGGTTGCTGTACGCTTGCGGATTTTTATTATTCATTAACAATAAATTATCTCTACAACTGGTGTTCAGGCTTCTGAATAATCCCGAGTAAATCCTTAATTCTACTAGGAGATTAAGCCTACCAAAAATACTCAGTTTACGGGATATTATTTATTGGAGTCAGATATTGAGGACATTAGCCTCAACACATCCATTGTTTCTCTTTATCTAAGAACGAAATGCTTATACTGCCCAGCGGTATTACAGCGGTTATTACTATGCATCTGAATGTGACTTGTTAAAACACTTATATGTCAATTCACTCTTCATTATCACAACACCACTTTGTTTAACTCCCAAATAATATTCACGTAGATTTTCGTTTTAAACGTACTAAGAATTAAAAGTGAGCCCAGAAAAAGACCTCACTCAAAGAAGTGTAATCTATTATTGATAACCGTCGGAAAATAAGCGTAAGGATTGATAATAGCAAAGGAGAAATCTCTAAGCATATAAACTTGTAGTGGCATTGGACCACAACCACAGGGTCCTCAAAGCTGAATACGAGAATACTCAGAAAATAGATATTCAATATTTAATGCGAAGAAATACCTAACGATGGAGAATGCGCGAATAAGGAATTGAATGAGTTGGAGTTGATAGGATGGCATGTCTCGGCCTTGCAGGCGTGATCCATCTGAATGTTATCTTATATCTTCTATTTATGTTAAATATATTGTTCATTCTCTAGCCTAACCTTGTTCTACATCATGTATTTGTAATTGATACGATACAGTGAGTTGGTGTAGTCGATAGTGTGACTTCCACGTAAGATCTTATAGATAAGGCAGTTATATCATGACAAATCTACAATTTTAGGATTAGGTCTATCATTAGAGCAGTACTAATGTTATAGTAGACCATAGTTCTAAAAACTTGTTATGGCCAAAAGCCGCCGATCAGAAGCAGTGAATTATCGATCGGACTCGTAAAACAAGTGCGTGCAGCCTAGAGTCCTGATTGGTCCTGCTTTCCATCTAGCCCAGCCAGTTACGTTCAGAACACTAATCTCAGTCTCCACAGTTTGAATCGTATATTTCAAACATACTGAATTTGTATACCAATCAAACAGACCACAACGTAACATAAAATAGAAAATAACATTTGTACAAAATTTGGCCAAATGTGGCTGTAAATGTGAGAAGCAGTGACTAATAGATAGGGCATAATTCAAGAATGGTAAAACGTATAATAATGGTTCACAGGTCAAAATAAAGTTTATAATAAGAGGAACATGAATATGAATAGTTCAGTTATCTAACAATTATAAGATAAAAATATAAGTTTAGTATTGGTCCATAAAAGGATCCGAACGTTACCATTTATTATGCTTATGGGGACCTAACAAAACCGTAAGATAATTTTGTAATACAACTAAAAAACTAGCAGGCAACTAAAGTAAAACAGGGAGATCTATCATGGAGAAAATATTCAAAACAATTACTCAGATGCAAAAGCTGTTGAGAAGGCTTTAGGGCACTTTAAAGAAGATCGTGATCGTTCACGCATGAACCAAATTGAGTTACTATGGTACTTCGTTTAACAATCAATTGAATATCATTTGTCACCATGCATCAAATTCCTTGATTAGGAGAAGGCATTCGACGGAATTAATTGAAAAACCTTATGGCAACTTTCTTCGGCGCTATGGTTTACGTGAGATGATCACGAACGTCGTACGGAATTCCAACGGTGAACTACACTACAATGTCATGCGTGGTGGACAACAGACAGAAGCAATCTAAGTGAAGGTTTGTCGTAAATAAGGCTGCTTACTATTGTGTTTATAATCAGTTTTCTACGCTATATAGTCGATGTCTATTGGCCGAGTACCATCAATAATATCCCATTGTGGCTCCCAGCTAAAGAGACTCTTAGTACAGAACACTGAAACAAATGATACGAGGGTCGAATACATCATGTCGGACTACTCCTAACAGCGCATTGTGAATTTAGAGAGGACCTAATCATAGCAAAGTGCTCGTGACAAAGTTATTGGATATTGGCTGTCCACATTCAACTCGAATCCAGTTTAGAGCTCACTATGACAAAATCACTAACGAGTTCATATATTATTGGATTTTAAACCCTTCTTAAAACAACAACAACAACCGATATCGTTCCTTAAATTTTTGATATTAATAAGGGACAGTTTTTGTGGCTTTAAATTTGGAGAGTGTGAGCAATGTAAGTTTCCAGATTACACTTCATTAGGATTAAAGATGCTACAAGTATTCGGAGTATGACAACAAATTTACCCATAACACTTTTATAATAGAAGTATGCCAAACCAGTTAAATCAGAAGTCATAAATGAATGAGTTCTAATATATATTTGGAAGGCTGTAAGTCTGTCGAGTGACGTTTGTTCTAAGCTGGCTAACAGTTAGAGGTAATACGTAGCACGATGTACCCACTAGTGATGTGGTGCGGATGAGTGACCGAGCACCTTCAGATAAATGTGTCCACTAAAATTAATGAAATCCTAATCAAATGTTTAGGCTTTTCTTACCCTAATTTCGATTTATCTTAGGCTGTGGAATGTCCTAGTGGGGTCCTCCAGGGCTCAGTATTAGCACCTCTTCTCTTCTTGATCTACATTAATGATCTTCCTCAACAGGTGACGTCTGACTTATTACTTTTTGCCGATGGTATGAAACTTTGGAGAAAGATACGCAATCAAGAGGATATACTGGCACCTCAGGAGGATCTGACTCGACATCAAATTTGGACAGGTGAGGACGGACTAAACTTGAACACTTGAAAGTGTAAAGTAGTCGATATGGGACATGCTGCAGACTACAGTTACAACTTAAGAAGCTCCTCTCTAGAAGTACCCCAAGTTGAAGAAGATTTAGGTTCCTGTTGCCCTATGATTTGAAGTCTTACGCTAACTATGATAAAAATGCCCTTCGAGCAAACCATGCTCTGGTAACATTGAAGCGCATTTTTGAACAGTTTGAGGGGAGAACATTCCACATAATCTTCAACGGCGTTATTCGTCTCAATTTAGAATACGGAAACATAGTATTTCCTCCCTCACTCCAAAAGTATAAGGATACTCTGTAGCGTATCCAACGGCGAGCCACGAAATCAGTTGGGGTACTCAAATTCAAACCTTATAAAGAGCGCCTCCAATCACTCGCTAGAGTATAGGCATCTTAGAGGTGTCCTCTAATGACCTACAGTACCTGTAACAGTTCTGAACATCCTGTTGAACACCTACTCAAGTTTAGCTAAGGAGTAACACACAGAAACTGGAGACAACATAGCAGAACGGACTGTGGACACAACTTCTACTCCTTAAGAGTTGTCAAATGCTTGAATTTGCTGTCGGCTGAGCTAGTTCAAAAGACTTCTTAGGAGACTATTAAGAGACAACTTGATCTATTCATTAGGATTAAGGATAGTATCACAATATGATTTACTACTTTTATTTCTCTTTTATTGTTAATATACCTAGGTCCTTGCCCGTAGGTTTCGGTGATCACCTGCTACAAGACACGGAAGCCTGTTGAACGAAAGCTTCATATATTCCGTCCACGATCATTTGAACCATCTGAATCCAAGTGGTTTCGGCATTTAACATTTCGCTGTTAAAACCGTTAGCGGTAGTTCGTTTGGAGGCGTTACTCCGGCATTTAGCGTATATAGAATGCAGACTCTCTTTTGTTTATTTTGTGCGTTGTTTTTCATATTTGGAGACATTCATGGGGACGAGCTTCCTAAAGGAGTTCCGCTATCGAGTAGATAAATATTTCACCGGCTAATTCTTCTCAGGATCTTCGTTCTATAAAGTTGGACAGTCGTTTACTTGCTTAGATGGCTCTTCAGCTATACCATGGTGGCAAGTGAACGACGATTACTGTGATTGCCGCGATGGATCAGATGAACCCGGCACATCTGCGTGTCTTAATGGTCGTTTCTTCTGTCGTGATATGCAGTACAGACCTGTTTACCTTCCTTCTGCTTACGTCAACGACTCTGTTTGTGGTAAGTTATACATACTTATTTACACGAATTGCGATTTTATTGCGTGACCTTCTGGTGCTAAGGTTCTTGCGATGTCATTTCGTTAAGTGAATTTACGGGCGTCTGTTCAAGGGCATTCGTTAATTTTATTGCACATCTTATAGACTGATAAAAGTATATTATAGAAATCTGTTTCTTAAAACTAGTCGATTTTTCATCCTGTTAGACTCTACATACGATGCTGAGTAGAACGGAGTTATATATGGACTAACGCGTGTAAGTTATGTGGGGTAAGAACTTCGTACGTACGAAGTTTTTCGTTGTTGATGACTGACTGATATCGGGTAAGAAAATGAATGGAAAAGTCAAGTCTCAACAGGTGGCTGTTCATATTCTCCAGACTCCAGAATCTTGACTGTCGTCTACACCGTCTTATTAAAGAGCAAGACCTGGGTCTGTCATTACGCTGGCAAACTGATAAGTTTCTCTTTGAACGTAAAACACTTCGTATGTGTCGAGTCTGTGGCACCTGTCAAGCCTGCCTGCCCATTTGAAGTGGATTTGTTGGGAAAGTGTGCTTTTCTTGTCTTAAGAATCTTGTCATCCCTGATAATTTTGTAGTGAAAAGGCTGGCGGAATAGAAGCCACAGGTAGGTGTAGACTACCTGGTTGGGGATCACGAGATGATAGCAACCGATGGATAGAGACCATGAATGACTATTAGATGCATCATACTTCATAGAGAGAAAATCAGTTGATAAGGCTATGAATCTTCATCGATCCTGGTGATTAAAATATATGCTGCTCAAATATAGCGGCTGTTTTCCATGACTTGTAGTGCTGTCTAGTCAAGTAGCGCGTTTGAAAAATGCTAAAAAGTACCAAGTCAAGATGCGTCATCTGTCCATGAAGTCATTGACCGTTGGTTTGGATTGTATTAGTAGGTGCTAACTAGCTGGTTGGTCTGTAGTATTCAACATAAAAACATCAACTTACTGTTTGCATTATTGGTTAACACGGGAAATGAATATGGACGTGATTTTCAATTCTAACTATAAATGGTTAGCATTTTTATTGATTTATCTAAGACTTAGTGTTTGGATTTGAATAATCTTTCAAAGTCATATTTCGTTTTGATCATCAGCTGATACATCTACACACTTGGCATGATTGCAAAACTCACCAGATGTTTTAGCTAGTGTCTAATATCAACGAGCATAATCGGTTCAGTGAATTCTTTCTGGCGATCGCACATTACGTAAACTAGAATTCAGTTTTGTGTAATTTACTTAACGAGATAGCGTTTACTCAATTTATAGATAACGCACTTCTAATTTTTAGATTGTTGTGATGGTGGTGATGAATACGAAAGTTCTACCAATTGTCCGTCAACTTGTGGGTGAGTCCTTTCGCTTGTGATTTCTTGAGTCACGTGATAATCTAAATAAAAGTTATCTCGTCTATCTTGATAAATGAAGGTAGTATCATAGCTTTTAACGTAGCTAAAAATATCTATCGACACGTCAAAGAGAAATTGTTCGACAGAGAGATCTCTATTTGAAAATTTTGTACACAAATCTTCACAAGATTTTCAAAAACCTCATAAAGTGTTATTTACATCGAAAATGAAGTTAGTTCTGTCATACTGTATCGTCTGATCACGTGATCATTGTGATATGCACTTCTCACTGCATTTGTGTCTACCGGGTCAGATGTTTGGTAGACCATTGTAAGTCACTGCTTTGTAACAAATATATAAATAATTGAGTCAAATGAACACAAGTTTAAATTGTAAACAGGAACTATGTCACCGTCGTGTGAAATGTTTGATCAAAGGGATTCTGTATGGAATATCACTGTGTGCATTTGTATATACAATGTTTGGTATAAAAAATGTGAGATTTGTAATATGAAGGATTGTATGTGTATGTATGTTAATTGTTTGAGGAACGACGAGTCAATTGTAGTTGTTTGGATAAATAGTCGGGTGAATTCCAGAACTTTTCTATAGAGGGGAGGGGAATTTAGTATTTGTCTGCAACGCTTCGAGTACTCACCTATTTTTATAATTTGGAAGACCTTTCTGAATTATTGTGCTATTTTTAATGTTGATATGGTGGTTATTGAAAAGTGTTTTGTTGTAGTAATTAATTCACTGTTATTTTGCATACGAGTGAGCTGCTCAGTTGATTATCATCGAAACTGGTTGATATATTATTGATTTGTAATAGATACAAATTCTATCTTTTTTGGTTTCTCCTAGCGAATCTTTCTCAACATGGTAGTTTTCTGGAGCGGCTGGAAATAGAAGATAAATATAACTGTGGCATACGTTATGGAAATTGTTGTTAGAGTCATCGTCGCATATCCCACCTAGTGACAAAAATACACACCGAACTATTGTGTCGTGAAATTCTTCAGAATTTCACTCTAACTACAATCGGTCTGAGTCGATAAATTTTTATACGTGAAGGGATTTTGTCAAAGGGCAACCTTCCAAGTATGAGACTCAAAATATATTGTGTGGTTGACTCCCCTAACTAATTCACTGCTTAGTTTCAATTTAAATAATGACAGATTTGTTTTAAAGCAAAATGCTGCATTTGTGCACCTATAAATCCATTTCAAAAATCTAATATTGTCCCACTTAGGTTGCTCACAATGTAACCTTCATTGTACGTTAAAGTGGTTTATTGATTCTCTCTAATACAGTAGATGATTAGAGTCTGGTCTGTCTTTATTCATTATAAATTTAGTATCAATGATTTTTAACTCTGTTCAGTTCTCTGATTAAGTCGAATTATCTTGACTTTAAGAAAGATCATTCTAATTTGATTTATTTTCCACTGACAGTAATAGAAATTTTGTTTTCAGTAATTTTGATAAATTCTCTATATTATCTCTTATGTGATGTGTTAAAAATGTCTTTATAATAAGCTTTAATTTATATTTCAACTTATATATCACTTGATATTAGTTTTAAACTGGGTGAAATACTCGGAGACCTTTCGTTTATTGTTGTCGTTCACTTATTAGTTGCTATTACAAGACAAACAACTTTATAGTTCTTTTTAAGTAAAGATGGATGGTGGCTAGCAGTTGAACCCAGTTTGACGCGCGTTCCATTCTATTTGGGACTCATCAGCTGAATATACCTGCATCCCAGAGTTGATTTTCTCTCCGGGACTCAAACCTCGCACCATTCGCTTCAAACGTCATCGCGTTATCCACTTAGCTACTAAGTCCTGATAGCCACCTCACATGGTCACGTGTATACAGTCTCTGCCAGGGAAGTCGTACTCACTGCGTTCTCGTGGCTGGGGTGTTTACGGAAATCAGAGGACGAAAAACGAATATCCGGCGCTTTAACCGGATTCTAAACTAATGGTGCACATGGGTTCCAGTATCCTGCGGGAACAAATGGCGTGTGAACCAATAGTTGGTCACCGGTTACCATGGGACTGCATCTCCTTACGATGCTCCACTGCCTTGTGGATCAGACCTTCAGGTCGAAGGCTCCGGGTGTGGCCCCTTAAGAAAACCACCTGCTTCGGTCTGGGCACTCGAGCAATATCACAGCCCTCACACATATCGAATGAGATTTGTGTGACGCATATGTATTTGGTACCTCCTTGTACCTATATCTATGTGTTCAAATAAATAATAAATAAGCCACCTGCTAGTGCAATGAGGTGAAGTTTAAATTCACTTGGTGTTGTTTTACTTGTAACTTAAGGCTATATCAAAGCAATCCACACAGGATGCGCATAATGTTAATATGAAACTGATTAGTTGCAGTCCTAAATAACAATGGGACGATAACAGGTAAAACAACACCAAGTGAATTTAACTTTACAGTTCGTTTTTTAAGTTTAACCGATTAGAATATTCTTTGGATAACAAAACAAACATTAATTATTTGTTAAAATTAGATTAAAACCAATGTATTATGAAGTTAAGCTGTTATGGAATATAAACTAAATGATATTAATAGTTTAATTGAATATATAATGATCGAAATTTGTGTATATAACCATAATATACAGATTATAGACCTGTTTTCTAATCTCTCTATCTTTTCATTATGTATGTAAACAGAACAGCAATCATTTAGGTTTAATATAAGTAATTGATATATAGACATGTTTTTTTTTCACTGTTTACTTATTTCTATCCTTTTTGTATGTATGTGTATACTTAGCGCTTTGGCTGCATCTTTGCGTGAAGCACAATCCATTAAACGAAATCAAATTGAACAAGGACATAAAATTTTCCAAGAATACGTCACAAACGTAAGTTATTTTGTTTTATTTATTTACTTATTTAAACACATAAATATTGGTACAAGGAGGCACCAAATATATATGTGCCACACAAATCATTCGATTTGTGTGAGGGTTGGGCTACTGCCCGGATGCTCAAACCGAAGCAGATAGTTTTTTAGAGGAGTCACTCTTCGAGCCTTTGACTTAGACGTATGATCCATAAGGCAATGGAGAAACGTAAGGAGATGCAATCTCATTGTAGCTGGTGAGCAATAATAGGTTCATATGCCATTATCCATATTAATTTTCTATGGATGGGCCCGTTTGTCTTTATCACTTGATAGTGGGATTCCAAAATGCTTGGGTTGATGATGATAAGGTTCAATAGCTGTGAGTTTCAGATTTAAAGACGAATGTATACTACTGACTACTGGATATGAAGGGAATCAGATGCTTCCTACGATTAGTCATCATGAGCGATTCCGTCTTCGAACATACAAAGAGAGGTTTTAAAAATTATCAGCCTTAAAAATAACACAATATACCTTGTTTCATTTAATTTCAACCTCATCTATAAGACTAAAAGAACATCGGATTAACTCAAGCAAAAAGGGCTTTGTTTAACCAGTTTCAAACATCTGTCCCTTGTGTTATCTAGTCACTCTCCAAGGTCGGTAGAGCCCTCCTTAATAATGCCGCTTCTTTTTGATGTTCCTCATGAAGTATCATTCCACAGTATGAGCTACCGAAACCTATAGATCACTGTCTCACTGCTTTTTTAATTCCATGTTGATAAATAATTTACCATTATTTAACTAATTTAAATAATGTCTACTGTGTACGTGCATTTGTTTGCGTAAAAGTCAACAGTACTTGTTGTGTATTGCGTTTTCGTTTATCACAATCCTAAATTCACATGCTTTAAACGATGTACTTTGCCCTTAATCTGGCCATTTTTCGGATTATTAATTTGGATATATAATTGTAGAACCTGAAGAGAATATATAGAAAAGAATATTCTTCGTTCAAATAGTAGTCTTTTAATATGAAGGGGATCTTTAAACGAATAAAATGTTGTGTATCCGTTTAAAGTTCGATGAAGAACGAGAGAGGAAGACCAAAAACTTCAACTTTTCGTCGATTCTTTTTTTTTACTTCATCTAAAATGCATAGTTTATGTAATTTATGTATCCTTATTTTAGACTTAATTTCTTTTTTTCCGATCTATATTGTTATGATTTCAAGTTAAAAGAACGTAAAGCGAAAGGACTTCTTAATGAAGAAAAACAGTATGATGAAACACTGAAACTTGCGGAATATGATGTCAACAGTGATAGTAGTAGTAGTAGTAATAGTAATGATAATAATGATAATGACAATGAAGGAAATATTCAAACAAATGAAGAAAATGTTGATTCTCATTTATCTGTTGGTGAGGAGAAACAAGCACTGAATGAACCGTCATCATCGTCAATTGATTCGAATCAACAGTCGTTTACACATGATAATGAAAATACACCTATCGAACATGAAGCATCTTCATTAAGCGATACGGAGTCTCATGAGAAAAAAGCAAGTGAATACGATGGGCATCATGTTGGTGGTGAAGACAATCATATGGATTATGACGAATCAAATGTTGCTGTTACTGATAAACAACTCGACGACGAATCACATCATGGTACGGATGAATGTACTGATAAGGGTTTTTCTCTATTTTGAATTAAAATTAATATTTAGTGTGGATAACATATATAGTTACAATCGGTGTCTAAAAACTTTGAGCTATACTTACTTGAATTTCGCTAATATTTGAATACTCTTGATATTGACATGTACACGTTGTAATTTTTTATGTATGATGTTGTCACATCGTCAGCTATTTTTTCCATGTTATTCTGCGAGTTTCGAGTTATAAGTGAACCATAGAACAGGAGTTTTATCTGTTAGCTATGTATGTGGTCCATCTGGTTCCCTCATACTAGAGGGAAAAGTTGTATCTTGAACTAGTAGACAATAAAATACGATCGTTAAATGATTGGCTAGACTGGTTATTGGTTCTAAAGACAATAGGTGAATTGGTCAACAACGGACTCGATACAACAACTGTTATTATAATGAGTAATCTAATCACAGGGCTAGCGAGATAGAGATAAGTAGTTTATGCTATTTGAAGCCACGATAAAAGATGACGGAGGTGAAATTAACTGTGAAACCTGACTTTTTCTATTCTATAGGTATTTTAACTATATTTCCAAGCATTAACTCTACTCGGCTAACGTGATTTGCTGTTGCAGGATTGAATGCTTATGTGTAGGCTATTATGAACTATTGGATTATCTCTTCTCCTTCCACTCTGCTTTTAATAGTCCTCTTTTAAATATATCAATAAGTCTTTCAACTTGACTGTTTGGTTGTAGTTGATAGGGAGGAGTCTCGATAATTTCGGTGACATTTAAAATTAAAAATTTCGAATGTTCTAAAGATGTGATGTGCGGTCCAGTATCTTATTGCGTATCTACCTAGCAACCTACACGGGTATTATTGTATATGAACAATACTTTGAAAATAACTATGTTAATACACCAGCAACTCATGGATGTTATAGAACTTCAACACCTGTTTCATATCCGTGAATTAATAACAGAGCATGTTCCTGGGCTAGTATGCTGGTCGTTTGGTAGACAGATAAGGATTTTGACTGCTTATTATCTTAACACTACAATTTTACCAATTAGTAACAGTTTCTGTAATTAGTATTTATGCGACTATGTTTTTTGTCTGACTTTAAATCTTTCCCTGTTTGTATATTTTTCTCTCTCAAGAAATCCCAGAAACCCCATCACCTGATGAAAAACCTGTTATTAAAGAGTAGGTTTCTCATAAATCATTCTTTTTTTTGTATGATTTTGTTTATATATTGAAAATATGTGAAATACCAGATCACTTAATGTTTATAGTAAACAAAATCTCGCGAGGCGGGATCGTGGATGCGCACTGTTGAGGAGTCCCACAATAGGACAAAACAACCGTCCAGTGCTTTCAGGTTTTCCATGGTGGTCTAGCTTCAATTGAACTCAACTATTGAAATCACTATGATATCCACAATAAGTCCTGAAATTCCACTATTTCACTGTATCGAACAATATGTATGAATTATTCTCTATTGTTCATCGTATTTGATACTTGAAAATATATTGGTCTGTCATTTATCGACAGAATATAGTTTAAGATTATGTTTTGTAATTTTAAATACATATAGAATAATCAAATCAGTAATATAATGTACGTTTGAGACGAAATTTTTGATTGTAAACATAAATGAAAAGAATACGCGGATAGATTGACACGAAATAGCATAATGGATGGCTACTCACTAGACTGTAAACTCTTGATATGAACCCTCGAATAATTCAAAATCAAAGAGTAAATTCATTCACCAGAATAATTGGTTTTGTATGCAATAAAATGATTTTTAAGTGACTGATAGAAACCAATATTTAGGTCACTCACTATCCAATTAATTATGACTCAATTGTTAGACTTAATTCTTGTCTATGACATCATTTTGTTTTGCATAATCATCTATTATTTCAATCTTTTTATCACTTTTTCACACTATAATGATCATTTTATTGTATTTTAACATTTCATTATGTGTTTAATTTGACAAACTTGATTATTTATTGAAAAACGTAAACATTGGTACAAGAAGGCACCAAACAGACATACACTGCAACACTGCCCGGATGCTCGAACCGAAGCAGACAGTTTTCTTAGAGGAGTCACAGCTGTTTGTATATCTTTCCAAGCAACATCTGGGTCAGCCTCGTTTTCAGAACTACCTAAGTGTGACCTCAGTTGTTCCTGGAACTTACTTTTGGTTTTCTCGTTACTCAACTCAGTTCTAATGGGTCTTTTTAATGTGGCAACCTGGACCGATGCACATATGTGCCTGGTCCTACGTTGTAGCTGACTGACTGACTTTTAATGTGGCGTTTTTGCGTCCAGTGAGGCGCAATCAGATGCATACCCGTATTAGGGCATGGTCGGAGTCCAAGCAGGTACTCCAGAATGAGCGACAATCTTCTACCGACCCTCTCCAACGATGACTGATGGCAATATGGTCTATTTGAGTCCATCGTTGGTTTAATGTAGGGGGTCGCCATGTTAGACGATGTCTTTCCTTATGCTTAAAATTTGTGTTTGCTAAAAATAAACGATTGTCTGAGCTTAGTTGCAGCAGACGATCACCATTATCTGTTCGTTGTGCCGGTATACTAAAATACCCACCTAAATGCCTTTCTGTTTGGTTTAGACTACCTATCTGGGCATTGAAGTCACCTGTTACGAGTACTATGTCTGAACGTTTAGCTTTCTAAGAAGTTCAGATAGCTTTCTGTAAAATTCATCTTTCATTTAATCTGAGCTGCAGTCGGTGGGAGCGTAGGCAGAAACGACAAAAAGGCAACGACGTGTGTCCCTATCCTTCCGAATTCTTGCGAAGCCGTTTAGCCGGACAGCACATAGACGACTGTTGAAGGGGATCCACTCTAACAGTGTTTGTTCAGCCCTCATGCTTAGTGCTATCCCTACTCCTGCCAGTCCACGAGAACTGGCCATCGGGTCACCAGATACACGAAGGGTGTATCTCGTCGGCTCTCCGTTTTGCCGAGGTGAAGTCAAGCGAATGACCACACTGGGATCCTGTATGCGTGTTTCGGAGACACAGCATACATCAATGGTACGAGATTTTAGGGTTTTAGCCAAGGAAGCCTGCTGACCGATTTGACATAGGGTGCGTAAATTGAAGGCTCCAATGTGTAGTGTGGATCGAGGTTTCAGTAGACCTGGGACAGTGTTTTGAGCACTAGAATCGTTGGCTATGGTGACACTTGAGGGGGAAGCCGAAAAAAGAAGTTTCGAGTTTGAAGTTGATGTAGAAGGAATAATAGGAATTGAAGAGGGAGGTTGATTATGAATCCAGTGGTCTTGAGTGCTGTTAGAGGTATGAGGGCGGTTATCACTTCCCGGTTTCCCACACCATGGAAGGGTTCTTCTGGAGGTATCTGAAAAGGAAATCGGATTAGAAGTGGTCTTAGTGACCTGGAAGCGTGACAATAGAATGCAATTAAACTTAATAGACCGATGCATATTTTTGAATACGTGTAAAATGATTAGGCTGACAAAAGAATACTGTAGAGTGCTTACATATAATTATTTAAATCATAAACTAATCTTATATCATAATTGAAAAACTGAGATCACTGAACAACCGTTTCATCCTAGTATGGAACTCTCGAGGAGTGCTCATCCATGACCTCGCATCCGGTAATTGAATACTCAACTTACAATCTCTCGTGCAAACACTTGATATCTACCCATTAACACCATAGGACACCGACCCAACAGTCACCATTATTTTCACCTCATTCTCACTTGTACTTATTATATTGTTGTTATGTTAATGTGACTAGGCAACTTGGATCAACTTACATCTTTTCCAAGCTCAACGTTGATGACAACAACTGACTGACTGATCATATTTCACACAGTTGAATCTTCTAATTATTATCTTTATTATACTTTTCAGGTTTATAATATATTCTTACTTTATATCAGTATTCTTTAAACCTCTAATTATAAAGGTGTTCATTTAAATCAATGTAATGATTATCTACCTATATTAAAGACATCAGAATTCATTTTGAAATACAGAATTAATAAAATGAAATACTTATTAGTTTCATAGTAACTCATAATCAACCATCATTACCTTTATTAATACTTTCTAATTAATTATTTAATTTAAACCAAATTAAATCTCTTTTAATTAGGTTATATTCAAGATCTTAATTTCATTTACAACATCATATAAGATCTAAACCTTCGTAGCATAATAATGGTGCATGATATATACTAGTTTCTAGATAGAATTACTTCAATATGATCATGATGGAGTTTTGTTCTCTGAGCCTGAATGGTTTGGTCATAGAGCTTTCATCGTTCTTCTGAACGATATAATCAGCACAAACTTCAAATAGAAGTGTTAGAATTTCTCCATATGTGTTTCACAGCTTGTTCTGTACATATCGATGTTGATTGGTTCTTGTTGGGCTGATGATGTCGTTCAGAAGAACGATGAAAGCTCCACGACCAAACCATCCAGCTCAGAGAACAAAACTCCATTAAAATCATACACCTGAGCTACAAATCTCCACCATTTCAATATGATCATATACTAAAAATGACCATATATATAGAGTGTTACAATTAACTAAATCATTAAAATAAGGAAGGAAATTGTTATGTTTTTTTCCTTGATAAAAAACATCCAAGTTATGCATATCACCTGGGGATTATCTCCAATCACGATCCCCCATCGGGCACCACGGCTTCGCCCTCAAATGCCCTGGTACGGTTGAGGGTGGGGAGGGTCATCGCTCCATCTCGAAATCCTCTCACATGGTTATGTGGCGTTTTACTCGCGTTGGTGGATGCGGAGAGTTTACCTGGGGGAGTTGGAAAACTCTGATTTAAAACCAATGGTGCACATGGGCTTCACGATCCTGAAGGAACAAATGGCGTATGAACCTATTGTTGGTCACCTGCTACCATGAGACTGCATCTCGTGACGTTGCTCCACTACTTTGTGGATTAGACCTTTAGGTCAAAGGCTTCGGGTATAGCCTCATAAGTAAACCACCTGCTTCGGTTTGGGCATCCGGGCAGTATTGTAGTTCTCATATAAATTGAATGATTTGTGTGGCGCATATCTGTTTGGTGCCTCCTTGTACCAATGTTTATGTGTTTAAATAAAGAATCCACCAAGGTTAACAAATAAGTTACGCATTTTCAAGTTACCTAGACAAGCGAGAAACTTGTAATTTGATTAATAGAATTCAATAGATAGCAGTCAGGATTAAACTAACATAAAATTAACTTCGTATTATTGGTAAATTTGTATTTATGTCTCTCCCATATGAGATTAGTCACTGCCCAAATAACTTAGTATTAACACTTCAAATTGTAGTATGGACTCGATTTTCACCTAGGGCGCATCTTAGCGACGAGTTCTAACTGGCATGAAACGCCCGTCAAGCGTTTTCTATTGGTTGCTTTCTGTTATGTCCTAAAACCAACCAATACGCGTTGATGGCCTTAAGCAGTCAATGTGGGTGGAAAATGCTATAGCAACAAATTACAGTTTAAACAGAAGCTTAGAACTAGGGTAATAATTAAGTAGAAAAACCCAGAGTACTTAATAAAAGTGCTATCAATATATAAAAATTAAGTCGTAAAAAATTAACTTCGCAAGTTCTTACCTCATCTTATTAAATAGTCTCTTATAATTCATTTCATCAGCTGACATATTCGCTTTTATCTTTATAGTTCTAAAACATTATTCGATTATAAATTCTTATTTTCAGAATGGGGGTTTGTAAAAATTGTAGTCATTTTAACGGTTAAATTCATGGGTCGGTCTAAGTTGGGCCACGATTGATAAACTAGAAGTACTGGATGGACGATTCTTTCTAGTATGAAACTTCTTAGTAGTGCGCATCCACGATCCCTCACGTGGGACTCGAACCCAGGACCTTCGGTTTCTCTTGGGAGCACTTAACACCTCTAGACCACTGAGCTGGCATCCTACGATATTAATATCTAACTTTATTCGATTGATGATCTTGCACAAACATTCTTAATTTGTTCCTGCTAGGATCTAAACAGAGGAAACTTCTCTTATGTATTCATTTCTACAAAATAATTATATACCAATGAAATAGTCTTGTATTACTTCAAAATTATGACTTAATCTTCTTAGAATTATTCACTATTTTATGCAATTTTATCAGTTAGACTATCTGAAA